CCCCCCCCCCATTTCCATCAGGCCTATCATCTTTGTTCCTAAGTAAATGTGAGCCTGGACATGGGGTTAAATGTAATGTGATTTTCCTTTGGCCTAGCCCTGGTTGGTAGCCCAAACAGAAAGCTTCTGACTTTTTTTTCCCATTGTGAAATTGTGGAAGTAGATGCTCAACTCTATAGAAAGTAGCCTTTTATAAGGCTAACAATTTTCTGAGTTATAATTTTCATGGTATCTACTGGCTGAGAGATGCTAGGGCTTATTCACAGAATTTACTCTCTGGTGCCTTGATAAATACATAATATGTTGAAAAAGAGTTTCATGGAAAAGTAAACATATTCATCAGGGCTTTAGTTTCTCTTCTATTTGCTTTCAGCTGAGCAATATTGTAAATTGTTTGTTTGATTTTTATTTATTTTTCTTTTATTGGACTTTCCTTCTAGATCTTTTACCTAATCTAATCCAAATAAGAACAGAATGTAAGCAACTCTAAATATGGCATAGGGGCAAATGTGTATATCCCTTTTCTTTATATTATCTTTTGTTTGCATACTGAGGGCTACAGAAGGCAAAAAGTGGTGAGGTGCTGTTTTATAGCATGTTTCATGCTTATCAGTAATTTTTTCCCTCTGACCTTCTGCTTCAGACAATTAATTTTCCTGAACTGTTCACACACTGGAAGAACATGGAGGGGGAAATAATGTTAGTACTAGTGAATATAATCTTGGAAGGAAAGCTGTGCAATTATTCAAAGACCTAATCTTATCTCTTGTTTCATTTTTATATCACAAGTCTACATTTAAAAGTATTAGATATACTGTGCTGCTGTCCCACACCTTCAAACCCCAGTAAATAAATGCTGCTAAGTGCCACCAGGAGTGAAAGAGCTTGTAATGAGAAGTGTGAGGAGATATGTGCTCCATTCATCATTCTGCTCAGTCCAATATTGAGGCTCTTGTTATCAGCAGGATTCGTGGCGATGTCATCACAGCTGGCATAAATCTTCTGTCAGTGTGGGTCGGACTGATGCCCTATTAAAAGTCTGCCTTCACCTAATCACAGAATGACCTTTCAATGTCTTTAATTAACCTCTGACCTGAGCCATGCCAATGTCTTGTTGGTAGGTAAATCTATGGCATGACATTTGCTTATGACACTACATTTGTCTTGGTTTAATCATCGTACCATTCAGATTATGGTTTGAATGAAATACAGTTGGGACCTCCTGTTAATAGTTGGATTAATTTTTAAAAGGTTAGAACATAATATTTTCCTCGGAGCTCCCAGAGATATCTTTGCAGACATTTCCCCCTGGGGAGTCAGGGTCCCCCACTAAAGTAAGTTTAGGCAAGCCTTCAATTTCACCAATAATGTCATCTTTTCTACCCAAAGTTATTTTTTCTAAGTGGCCTGGAAGCCAGCAGCATTCTAGGACCTATGGATGACCAGAGGACAAAAGCTTTAAAATACCATCTATCCTCTCTTGTCCAAGACAATAGTAAGCAGCAGAAGCATGGGTTAAAAGGAAGAGAGAGAAAGGGAAGATTTTTATCTTGCTTTGAGAAGATCCTTGTCTACTCTGGGATATGTGTGTGCCTCCAGTCCTAAGACCTCTTTGGATAATAAAATGTCAGTCATACCTCATCTCTCAACTAAGTGGAATTCTGTTGCAGAACTCCTATTGGAATTAGCAAATAGTACAAATATTAAATATTTACAATGAAATATAATTTTCTTACATACAAATGGAGTTACAAATTAATAGAAATGGCCACTGATTTATTTAAATTTTCAGCAGGTTGTTTAAAATGGCAAATTTTGATTGGCCTATAAATCAAAAATTGCAAGAATAAAATAGGGATTTTGAGCTACCTAAGATTTATCCAATTTTATACTCAATCAGAATCCCCATGAACAGCTTAGACTAGATGATCTCTAAGGTCTTTTCAGTTATAAAAGTCTATGATTCAGTGTCTTGGTATTACAAATTCTAGGTTTATTAGGTCTGAATTCAAAAAGTTTTCTTGCCTTTAAAACACTTAAAAGTTATACTGTAAAGATTTCAGGAGTTGGAAAGTAGTCAAGTGTCCCACTTGCCTTTCCCCTCTTCTCTGCCTCCTCCTACCTGAGCCTCTGCTAACTCACCTGTAAAGTGATTGTACTGGTAGGATCACTGCGAAGATTAGCGAGAACTACAAACAGCCCCTCACGTGGTACCTGGCATGTAGTGATGACCGGTTCATTGTGGATACTGGTGTGTCTATTACTACCTGCAGCCTTTGCTAACACATGTTACTTCTAGTCTCACCTGACCTCTTGTCTTCTAACACTATCCAACGTCATTATTAAGAAGTTTGGAGTTGCTCCTGGGTTCACATAAAGTTTATATCACTAGATTACTGGCTGTATGATAAGGAGAAATTCATTTAAGTTTCCGATGTCACAGGTACCCATCTATAAAATGGGTAATGAATAATATCTCATTTAATGAACCTATTAAATGAGATAATGCATGAAAAACACCATGTCTGATTTTCCTCAATAGCTTTTCCCCATTACTTATCATTGTACCTGGCATATAATAATCACTCAATAAACATTAACTAAGACATAACTATTATATATAATTCTTTTATTATTTAATTAAATAATAACATTACATATATATTACTATCATCATCAATTAACTTGCACTATTTCCACCTCACATCTTCATCAGAATAGAAGTGGTAGTAACATATTTTGACAAAGAATAAGTTTTGTTTAGGTCCTTG